AACTGCCAATAATTAGGCGCACTGGTGTAAGTTTATAAAGAAAGCATATAAAAATTGTTGATGTGTTCCTTGTGCCAGAGTCGCTTAAAGTAGGTGTGCTGTGTAAGAGACCAGTCCACGGTTGGCCTTTAAGGGGGATTGTACTTCATGAAATGGGGTAAATTTGTGCCATATTAAACTTATCTAACAGGTAATAAGCAAATAAACTACGCTTCCCCATCCTATTCAGTTTGTGAACGTTGTGTTTCAAAAACACAAAAAGTTTGAGAACCAGTGCTTTTTTGTGCGTTTTTTTTAAAATAAAATAACTGAGGTGGTTAATTAAAGTCATAATCAGTGATTTAGGTTGTAGTCTTGAAATATATGGATGAGTTTATTCTCAACAAAAATGCCGGGCTTGGACAAGGGAGTGTTTGTATGTGTGTTGGGGTACAAAGGGGAGAGCATCTGTTTTGTTTGTTTGTTATTTGTTGTTTTTTTTTTGCAAAGGGAGACAATTTTAAGGACCTGTCCCAGAAATGGCTGTAAGTTTTGCCTGCATTATTGCGGCTCAGCTGTAAATCAGCCGATCGAGTGCTTCATGGGGGCGGGCCTCTTTTCAACAAGCGTGTCATTTCAACAAATGAAATGTCCCCAATCACTGTTGTTTGCTTTTGCAAATTGTGTACCTGGCCAGATGAAGTGCGCCATTAATTGTGATTGTTTAAGATCCGGGCAGTAATGAAACATCGCTTCAGAACCGTGGCTTTTCAGCTGAGCAAGTTTGAGGTTTACTGTAGGGCGGCATTATTTCAACAGGAGTTTATTTTAAAAAATGATTCTGTCAATTATTTTAAGTGGACTGTGTCTTTGGGAACTTGGCCAAATAAACCCACTGAGGTGGGGTGGGCCGTAAAGGGAAGATAGAAGGTTGGGGTTTGTTTTTTCTAGTTCTCTAAAGACCAGTTATAAAAAAAAACCCCTAGGGTTTACCATACCCGGAATAGACAGAAACATCATCAACGAATAATCAGGGCCATGCAAATAATATCATATTAACTATGTTTTAAATGGTTGACCAAAAAAAAAAAATAATAATAAAGCCTGTGTGGGCGCGTAGACCAATGGAAGCCTTTGATAGAAACGTTATGTCAGTTAGCAGTTCAAAAGGTATTCATGTGCCCTGAAGAACTCCCCCCCCCCCCCCACATCTTCAGTTTGATTCCCAGTCCAATTATTGTTTCTATTAGAAAATTTGTAGTGACTGCATCAATGAAGTAATAAAAAAAAAAATTATTTTTTTTAAAATGGATTTGTGGGGCTGTCTGTCATTCTGCCTNTGCTAGAAATGCTTTTGGTTTTTTTTTTTTTTTTTTTTTTTTGGCTTTGTTGGTTGGAAATCTGTAACATTCCCCAGCTATTGGTGCCGTGTGTGTCGTCATGGTGTCGGGGCTGTGTGTGGCTGTCGTCGTGGTGTCGGCGGCTGTGTGCGGCTGTCGTCGTGGTGTCGGCGGCTGTCGTATTGGCTGTGTGTGGCTGTCGTCGTGGTGTCGGCGGCTGTGTGTTGCTGTAGATCTTCCTTATTGTGTTAGGTGGTTGGATGTTTTAGTGTCTTTACATGCTAGGATGTTTTCTTGTTCATCACATGTAATGTAGCATTTATAGGTAGATGCTCTTGCTCCAGCTGCTAACTTATCAGCCTTTCAGATTATATTTTATACAGTTAGATTTATGCAAGTTATAAAACACAGTATTATAATAAATATCTATAAATATACAAGATGCCATATACATCTCTCTCTATATATATAAATGTATTTATTTATGTATGTATTTATTTATTTATTTAATGTATTAGATACATTACTATAAAATATTAGTTTAATGTTTTGTGGTCAAAATACATTATTAACATTATTGTAGTTGCATGCAGCAATATCTTTAAATAGGGTTTAGAGTTTCAAATTAAAATGTTGCCTTTGACCCATGGCCAACTGCTAAAATGTCTGACCTAAACTAATAGGGCTGGTCATGGTTTGTTTCGTTAAAGAGATTTTTCAATTTATATTTTTCTTGTTTAGAAAGTAATATGGTGTTAAAAGTTTCATAATTTTTTTTTTTTTAAATTTAATTAAATTTTTTTATAGGTATTTCTGAAATGTTAAGTTCCTGCCACAGCAGAAGCAGGCGTGAGTTGTCGGTGGCTTGAACAGTTCTTTCAACTTGGGATTTGTGGGTTTTTTTGATTCATACCATTCAAACTACTTGTACTTAATATAATAATTAAAGGACTGCATTCAAGCTAAGTAAATGAAATAACAACGAGGAAGGCTCTCTGCCAAAACATTCTAATCTTATGGTCCTGTCCTTAAATTCAAGCTTCCACATTCAAGCTTCCACATTCAAGCTTCCACATTCAAGCTTCCACATTCAAGCTTCCACATTCAAGCTTCCACATTCAAGCTTCCACATTCAAGCTTCCACATTCAAGCATCCACATTCAAGCTTCCACATCCAAGCATCCACATACCTCGTTTTGCTATTGCATTGTACCGAATACCAACCTTAATGGCTGCATTGCAATTTGCTTTTCAAACTTTTTTAAAAACAAATTTTCAATAATTCAGAGACTGTATCAGAGGTTTGAAATAAGGGCAGTGCCAGCCGTTATTGTAGTTTTGTTTTAAGAAATGCAAATATTTTAAAGTCCTGGGAAATTTGTGCGGTTAAGTGATGCGGTTAAGTGATAGGGAAACTCTGAGGTTTTAAAACAAAACGACTGTTTTAACATTCAGCAACGACCGTGAAGCCTCGTCTCCATTTTGATTTCAAATCTGTGAGCCATTGTTATGTCACCTTAGCCCAGATTTAACTCTGGGGCCCTAGACATCTGTAGAGAGGATAAAACTAATAAGTGTTAAAAATTAAAATCACTGTCTAGCAAAGTTTGTTAAATTCAACTAAATTTTTACATTCTGACATTTAAATTTTATCACTCTCTTGAGTTGTTGCCCTTTTTTTTTTCCTTTTTTTTTTTTTTTTTTTTTTTTTTTTTTGCACAGCTGTCACGCTGTGAACAATCCTGTCCACAAATATAATGTGCCATAATAAACTGGTCTGGTGAATCAAATGTTAAATGATGTTCTCAGTTCTGAAATGGTTCTGCCACAAAAAAAAAAATAATAAAAATACCTCAAGCATTCACTGCCTGGCTGCAGATAAGTTCAAACCCAATAAGTATTATTACTAAAATAGTTTTTACCCACTTTGAGTTTTACATGACGCATTTAGTTTAAAATATTTACTGCTACTATAGTATTGAGTCAATTCTATCTCAACAGACGCTGGGGTGGATACAACTTTGTTGAGCAAGGACAGGAAGGAATCGGTGACAGCAGAGCAAGATCGTCTTCTCATAGAGGTAGAAGTGTTTGTTTTAAAAATCATTTAAAGACCTTTTAATAAAATCATTATTTGAACAAAATCAGATCATGTTTTATCAAAATAAATTTCCGTTGACTCCGAGCCGAAATTGTTTTCTTGAGTTAAGTAACTAATATCACTAAGCTGTCCCAATAGTGTTTGGTGCGGTGTTAATTAAAAAGCTGTTCTCTGGGGTGTTAGTTAGACACCTGTTCTCTGGGGTGTTAGTCAGACACCTGTTCTCTGTGGTGTCAGTTAAACACCTGTTCTCTGTGGTGTCAGTTAAACACCTGTCCTCTGTGATGTCAGTTAAACAGCTGTTCTCTGTTCACATTTTCAGCTGATGGAGAGAGAGAACAAAAACAGTGAAGCCTTCTTCAAGCCCAGCCTCAACAAACTCACCCTGACCTTTGACCGTGAACTTGAAAAAATCTACCGCCATGAGTTCAAGGACAGGTGAGTGACTGCAATAACCTTCTGCCTCTGTTGGCTAACATTCGTTATGTTCAATGTATGAGTCTATCACAAATGTATGTTCCAGACAAGGGCAACATATATAAATCACTATGTTGCAATAATTTAGTGTAGGGCATATCTTACTGTATTCTGTTTTTAAGAGTAGGACATTTTTAGAGATAACATGGGAGCTTTTGGTTTAGGCGTTATGGCACAGAGGAACCAGTCAGCCATTAGGAGATTGGATACCTGTCTGAGCTGATAATGTTTTGGGTTTAAACCAGGTGTGCTCATAATCCTCATGCCATTCCTCACCCCCCCCCCACCACCCCCTCCCTTACCCCACACACTTACCTGTGGGAGAAGTAGACTCATTGCTGCCTGAGCAGCTTGGAAATATTCCCACGGGGAAAATTTGTGCAGAAAACCCAGTTAGTCAACCAATAACAAATAATGCTGACATCAGAGCCCCTTAAGACAGGGTTGCCCAAACAATGGCCCATTGCCCAGAATGCAGCCCTCGGAATCTACATCTATTACCAACTCTTTAATAAATATCCAGTGCAAGCATAGTACAATGTATCTTAACTATTGGTCTTAAACTGGCTGAAAGCATAATACAATGTATCACAACTATTGGCCTTAAACAGGCTGAAAACATAGTACAATGTATCACAACTATTGGCCTTAAACAGGCTGAAGGCATAGTACTATCACAACTATTGGCCTTAAACAGGCTGAAAGCATAGTACAATGTATCACAACTATTGGCCTTAAACAGGCTGAAGGCATAGTACTATCACAACTATTGGCCTTAAACAGGCTGAAAGCATAGTACAACGTATCACAACTATTGGCCTTAAACAGGCTGAAAACATAGTACTATGTATCGTTAAGTCAAAACAACTGGATTTTTTTTTTTTAAATGAAATTTAAAAAATCATCTTTAATCATTTTGCCTTGTTTGCGGGAAAAGTCTTTGTAATAGTCAGTACTGTTATTAGTTCAGGTGAAAACACCTCATTTCTATGAACACTTTTTGAATAAAAGGATCCTTATTGGACAGTAACAGGCAAATTGATTTCAGAATATAAGAGAAGAATCTCTCCCATCGTCAGCGCCTGCCGCCATATTAAAGTTGGTTCAAAAAAAAATGTCTCCGCAGCTACCTGTTCCAAGAAAAGATGCTGTCGTCGCCCAGGTACCAGACAACCGTCGAGGCTGCCGTCGCGTTCATTGTCCTGCTGGTGTTGGCCGTCACCTGCCACGTCATGTTCGACTTTGCCCGCACCAATGGCCTCATCATCATCACGGCTGCCGGCATCACCATACAAGCTTTGGTCTTTGTTGACTCTCTTACTAACATCATCTGCCTGGAGGTTGGTTCTTTGTTTGTTTTTTTGTTTGTATGCTTTCCCTTGATTTAGGTAACCTTGCCCAGCACTTGTTTAAATGTTGCGATGTTAGGGTTTCCCTTCTCATAATAACTTGTGCTGTAAGGCTCGGATAATTCATGCCTGAAATGTTTTATTGGATATCAAATATGGCTTTTTCAACCAACAGAGGCTCCACAGTTTAAGAAGCCCTTGTTGTTACCAGTGCTACGAAATCTACTTTAAATGAGCATAAAAAATGTCTTGTAAGTTTAGTCGACAGATAATGTAGGGTTTGGGACTCGGCTAAGACTGAGCGGCATTTTTATTACCCTAATCTTTTTAATAACTCCATCACTCCATTTATCTAGGAGAAAAAGTCCAAGTGTCCTTGCTGGATGAAGCTGACCCTCAGCTGGTATTTCCGGAACGCTCTGGGCGTCCTCATGGCCACCATCCCGTCTGCCCTGGTCTACGTGAACCTGTCCTGTGATCTCATCACCACTGACAACTGGCATGACCGCTTCTTCTGCTTCGGCGTGGTGGTGGCCCTCCTACAGTACTGCAACTACAGCATGCTCCGCTCTTTTGCTAAGTCCATCATGGCCATCCTCATCGGCTCCATCCTCATTGTGCTGCTCTTCATCCACTTCTGCCCCCGGCAGTTCGGTGCGGACCCTACCGTGGCCTACTTGCTCAACGGCACCACCCAGTCTCCGTTCCCCAACACGACCCTCGTCCCGCCCGTCATCCCTGGAGACCACTTGTTCTCTGGGCAGAACATCATGAGGTTTGAGATTATTCTCAGCATCCTGCTGCTCCTGTTCCTCATCACCATCCTCAACTACGAGTTTGAGAACTCCTACCGCTTGAGCTTCCACGCCAGTGTCAAGGCTCAGAAGGACAAGGAGAACATGCAGCTGAACAAGGACCAGGCGGACTGGCTGCTGCACAACATCATCCCGGCCCATCTTGCCGAGCTCTTCAAAACAAACCGCAGCTACTCTCGGAATCACCAGGATGTCGGGGTCATCTTTGCAACCATCGTCAACTTCAATGAGTTTTACGACGAGATGTACGCGGGCGGCCGTGAGTATCTGAGGGTCCTCAACGAGCTGGTCAGCGACTACGAGGTGATGCTCAGCGAGCCCCGCTTCAAAGATGTGGAGAAGATCAAAACCATCAGCTCTTCTTTCATGGCAGCAGCCGGCCTCAACGAGGAGAGCAGAGCCAAGAACAAGGACCCGTACGCCCACCTGTATGCCCTGATGGAGTTTGCTATGGAGCTACAGGTTGTGGTCAACAGCTTTAACGAGAGCATTTTCAACTTCAACTTCATACTCAACGTTGGCTACAACTACGGCCCAGTGACCGCAGGGGTCATCGGCACAACCAAACTGCTTTACGACATCTGGGGGGACACTGTGAACATTGCCAGCAGGATGTACTCCACAGGAGAAGACAATAGGATCCAGGTGCCCCAGGCCACCGCAGAGCTGCTCAGCTCAAAGTTTGAGTTCTCCTACAGGGATGAGATTGCCGTGAAAGGGAAGGGCAATATGAAGACCTACCTCTTGGAACGCAAGATACCTGGCGCCACCTGGGAGTGACCCAAAGTATGAACCTGTTGATCCTAGAGTTTAAAATTTAATTAAATTTTGCAAGGGAGATTTCTCTTAAGATATGAAAAGCCTCAACGATATCAACAAAATAAAAAAGATCAACCATTTTTTTTTTGGTTGATCTTTTCATGGACACTTAATTTTTGTTAATCCATCAGCAAGAATAGTAGTAAAGAAAAAAGAGATTGAATAATGTGAACTTACTTCACTGAATAAAATCTTTTATCCTTTTTTTAAAAACTATCTTAATTTTCTTTACACTTTGGCAGATGCTAAAATTTTAAACTGGAAGTTTAAAAAATTTTTTTAAAAACCTTTATGTACATTAATGTAATTAAAATGTTGTTATGTTTTATGCTTCTTTTAAAGAGTTCCTTTTAAAGAGTTCCTTTTAAATGGACTGGATTGTACAAAATACTGTAAACCTTTTATTGGATTGATCTGAGAAGCTTAAATGGTAATTGTGTTTTTTTTGTCCAACAATTTTAAACAAAATTAATTTTTAAGTGCTAAATCATTGTACATTAATTTGAAACTTTTCTTAAAAGCTTTAAAAAAAAAATTTATCATCACATTATAAATTTTTATTATAATCTATATATATAATCTATATATTTCAAGTGATCACCAATTCTACATTAAAGTCCAAGTAACCAATGCTCGTCCAGCTTTGCTTGACTTGGCCTGAAAATATTAAAGAAACATATTGTCAATACTGATCATTTAAGGTGCTCAAACGAATTATTTTCTTGAACTGTTGTCAACTTTTAATTTTTTAATTTTTTTTTTTGTATGCTTCATAACATGAGGTTCATGAGCATCTTTCACCAGTGGGACACTTTGAGTTTTGACAATCGTTTTTTTTTTTTAAATATATATATATATAAAAGGTTCAACATTTTTTTTTATTTTTCATACATATTTATAGAATGGACATGCTGAGTCATGTTTTAACCTGTGAATTCAAGTGTAAATAGTAATTTTTATTTTTTTATTTTTTTTTTTGTATTTTTCTTAACATGTGGTTTATGATTATTTTTCACCATTGGGAAACTTTTATTTTTGACAATCGTTTTTTTTTTTTTTAAATATATATATATATACAAGGTTCAACATTTTTTTTTATATTTCATACATATTTATAGAATGGACATGCTGAGTCATGTTTTAACCTGTGAATTCAAGTGTAAATAGTAACTGCTGCACCTGTCCAGAAACTCACAATAGGATTATTATAAACCCTTTACTTAATTTCTAGTCTTAGCACTTGGTAAATCTGGACATTTCCATTGAAAAGGGGGGGAAGAAAGTAGCTTAAAATATGACATTAAGATTTCCTGATATAAAAAAACAAAACAAATCATCATTCTGTAATATTGTAATTTGGTTCCAACTGCAATAAGGATACTTGTAATAAATGTACTTTTATTTTTATGCCATTCTATGCAGATAAGGTAATTTATTTACATAAATATCTAGGTCTTATAATCTTACCAGACTTGTAATTTAATTTATACAATTATTCTCGATTTTTATTTAATTTATTCCACATTATGATTTTAACTGTAGCATTCGTAAAGGGAATGTAGTAAGCAAGACTGACTTGCCAAGCTGACCAGTGGCTATGCTACTAGTTGGCATATTTGTTTAGAAATCATAGAGTGAATGTCAATGTCATGTGAATGCTGAAAAGAATTCATGATGATATTAGTATTCTATCAGATATAGATTGTATTGCAAGTTACTATTTCAAATAGTCGAAACGAGTCACATCTAAGGTTTAAGAATACTTGAAACAATCAGCAGAAAATGTGTCCACTTGTGCAGTGACACCCAAATGTCTTTATTTTTCTTGTATATTTCTGCTCAATGAAAAGCTTCATAAATATCACGTGCTATGTTAACTCAAGGGGTTTATTAACTAAATTTAATTTTTTAAAAATTAATATATATCTCTCTGAAGACTTGAGTCATCTTGAGAAAATGTATTTATATCTATTTTTTATGAGATCACAACTATTTATCCTGTGTAAGTAATACTGGAGTCTGGTCAAATATCAATCTATCTGTTTGAAATGTATCAGCTGAAAATTCTTATAGCTGCTGCTGACTTAGATAGAACCATTGATAAATGGATGTCTTTAGAAAAAGAACATTAAATTACTTAAAATTTTTCATATTGCAAAGGCATCAGTTATAACCATACATTTATGGAAATATTAGTTTTTCTACATCTTACGTTAAAAAAGAAAATTTTTTAATTTGAAAAAAACTCAGTATTTATTTTATTTTTAAGTAAGGTTAATTTGTTCTATTTTATTTTAAAATAAAAAATAAAAAGTTATGTTTTTTGTTACCAGAGATTTTAAAAGTACTTTGCTTCTGCTCAATTTAAAAGGAAAAGGGGTATTTCGTTCTGCTTGTTTCAGCTGTCGTCTTCCACACTTGGCAACTTCTGCCATTTACTCTTGATATTTTTATCAAATATATCAACGCAAGGCGACATTGAGTGCTTTCCCGTCTCACGTAGATTTCAGTTGTCTTTCTCCATTCTCAAATCCAAGGGAATGAATCCAGATTTCTCACAGAATCAAAGCAAGTTTTCTATTCTTCATTAGAGTGGTTCATTTCAAGTATTTGCACATTTGTTTTCTCAATCATTCATTAAAAAAAAACAGCAATTGAAATGATAGAAATAAAGGTATTTCTAACTACAAGGCTGTAGCCACTGAACTGTTGGCCTTCAGGTGATATCAGGTTGGGAAATATTTGTTTTTTTTTAATTTGGTCTTGTAGGTGGACAACAAAATTTTAAAAATATTTCTTAGCAATCCTTTTGTACTTTAAATTCATCTTTAAAAATTCACAAAATGTGTTGATGTACATTTTTCTTTTTTAAATGTTAGGTGATACGGGGGGGTGATCTTTTCGTACATCTCAAAAATTTGACCTTTCCACTAGATATTTGGGGGTTAAATAATTATATTATTTTTAAAAAAAACATTTATTCAAATGATGACATTTTGAGACCCACTCAAGTAAGAATCATCCAATCTATAGGGCACACTGGCTGGTTTAGCCAAAACAAATGGAATATTGCTCAAATTTTGTTGTGGCTTTCTTATTGGTTTGTCATTTATTCATATAACATTCTTAAGTGTACACAATATGTTTGTAGTTTTTGCCTTGTAAGATTACATTAGGAGATGGAGCTCTAAGAGGCTTGTTATTTTAAAATACATACACATACTTTTTCATCATTTATGTTAATCCTACTTTGGGGAGGATGTTTTAAGCAATTGCTATAATTCAGGCGGCTGGTCAGCCATTTTCTCAATCATTGTATGTGCATGTAAATGTGTACATAGATTTTTTTTTTTTTAAAATATTTTTTTTTAAATTCCCATTTGTTTCTCATTCATTTACATTTCAATTTTACCCAAAAAAATTATGTTATTTATCTTAGGATTATAAAGATGTCAAACTATGTAAATGTGAAGGCATTGATCATTTTAATATTTTTCATTATACAATATTTTATACTTCAATCTGAACTAGGTTATATCTCTAATAACCTGGACTTGTTCTAGGGACTGTATCACCAAATGAACAGACTTTCACCTGGACTATTTAACTAAGGACGTTGACTTTCACCTGAAGTATTCAACTGATGTGGTTGACTTTTACCTGGACTATTCCACTCATGACATTGAATTAGCCTGGCTATATCACTTATGACATGTGTTATGTTGCTATAAATTTCATATATCATATTGCCAAACAGAACAACCAGGTCAAAATATTTGGTAAATAGCACGGAGAAAAAAATTTACCAGCACAACATGAGCTTTTGAGCACATGAGCTTTTGAGCTCATGAACTTTTGAGTACATGAACTTTGAGCACATGAACTTTTGAGTACATGAACTTCTGAGTACATGAACTTTTGAGCACATGAACTTTTGAGTACATGAACTTCTGAGTACATGAACTTTTGAGCACATGAACTTTTGAGTACCATGTAGGTATCTATCTCTGTGTTTACATTGCTGCATTGGATAAATTCCTCAGCATGTCCACTTGAACTCTTTTCATCTTCCAAACCAATGGGCCACCCTGTAGGACTAGCTACTGATACTCTTGTAACTGTGTTGTGTATTGTGATGCTTCTCTCTCTGGCCTTACTTTATATATATATATATATATTTATATTGATCTATCTATGTGTGGGTGCCAGCCATCCCAACTTGTAACAAAATAAACACATTCTTTCAGTCCTCTACACCAGAGCTTTACTCCATGGGGTTTGGTAATTGTTTTGGATGTGATTACGATGCCGTTACTACATTTAAACGTGTGAAGTATGTTATGGGACCGTACACATATTATGTAACACGAACGGACAAGGGGGTGGTCAATCATTTTGTTATATTGTGTTATATGGGGGGGGGGGGGTGTATAGAGCAATTTTGTGGGACATTTTTTTTTAAATTTAAATTTTTTTTAAATGATTATTTTGAATCTTCAGCCTAATCACCCGGCAAGTGTGCTAATCACCCGGCAAGTGTGATAAACACCCGACAAGTGTGATAGTATTGCTATGTTTGACATCACCTCCAACTTAAAATGGTTTAGCGTTTGCTTTTTCTTTCCATGTCCTGGTTGAGAAGGTAGAAAACATTATGCACACTTTCTACATGCAATTGATTTTAGATTTAAACAATTTACCCTATGGATTACCTCTGTGGTTACAAACAGACCCAACAAAATTATGTTTAAGGTTTGTGTGGGAATATATTTTACGAAAAAATATGTCGAACGGAAAATTAAATTTAATATGTTTTAAAATACAACTTCAACTTTTTAAAATAATTTTTTTTTTTTTAAATAATAATTAAGAGGCTTGATGACTGCTGCTTATTTTATAATTAACGGTTTACATAATTTGAGAACCGTTGCTCACTTTGAATCCTGGATAAGCACAATTAA